CACCCAGCCACCCCCTCCCTCCCACCCCCCACCACTCCAGCAACCCTCAGTTTGTTCCTGAGATTAAGAATTCCTCATATCAGTGAGGTCATATGATACATGTCTTTCTCTGATTGACTTATTTCACTCAGCATAACACCCTCCAGTTCCATCCACGTCGTTGCAAATGGCAAGATCTCATTCCTTTTGATGGCTGCATAATATTCCATTGTGTATATACACCACCTCTTCTTTATCCATTCGTCTGTCGATGGACATCTTGGCTCTTTCCACAGTTTGGCTATTGTGGACATTTCAGCACTGCATTTTAAAGAGTTCAAGCCAAGCAAACATCATGCCTTACGAGGACACAACTCACAGCCATCTTGTACTTTTTTTTTTTTTTGGCCTTTAATGAAAGAAAACTGGTCAAGCAAATGACTGGTAGAGATCCCGCCAACTGATATGGTTGGGTCGACCTGGTTTGGATGGATTAGCCACCGAACCCTGCTAGGTCACAGGGCATGGGGAGGGGACAGTAACTCTATACTGGCACTCACTTCCTAACCAAAGTGGAGGCAAGTCTGAAAGCCCCAGTCTACCAACCTCCAGAGAAGAACAATATGAAAGTGACTTCTCGCCGTATCAAAGGCTTGAACTATTTCACTGGACTCTAAGTTCCCCGAAGACAAGGATGGTATTCATTCCATCCAGATGTCTGAGTGCTCTACAGAATGGGAAAATGAAAAGAGTGTAAGCCCGAAACGCTGACTGAACCGTACCTGGGAGCAAAGTTGAAAACGACAGTCCACAGGTTTTTTTTTTAAATGGCAAAAACGCTGGGGCCCCTGGGTGGCTCAGGCGGTTAAGCATCTGCCTCCGGCTCAGGTCAGGATCCTGGGGTGCCCGCCTCAGGCTCTCTGCTCAGCAGGGGAGTCTGCTTCTCCCTCTCCCTCTGCCCCTCCCCCTGCTCATGTGCTCGCGCTCTCTCTGTCAAATAAATAAATAAAATCTTAAAAAAAATAAAAAGGCAAAAATGCTGAGATTTAAAAAACTTTTTTTGAGCTTTTCACTCAAAAGCTTTGAAATTAAAAGATCTGCCACGATATCCTGTTTTATAACAGGATCAGAAGAAAGATGAGAAAATATCCACGAATCAGTTACCTTGACAACACCGAAGAATGTAAACGTTAGCCAGGCTGAAGGGTCTTCCTCCGCAGTTTTATGCTCAATCTATATCTTATCACCGTAAAAATGACAGATCTGTTTTTAAGGAGTTCTTCCTCTAGATTCTACCTTAACTAGAGTAGTAGTAGTGGTAGTGATACGGCCTCTAACCTTGAGACTGTAATACGTGTTTACTTGTTCGAAGAAAACTGTATTCTTTCACTTGATCTCGGTAAAAGGAAATTGGATTTAAATTTACTCTTCAACTTCATAATATTTGATCCACTAACAATACCTTCATCAATCTTATTGTCTCCTTGCAAGTCAGAAATAGGTAACCATTAGAAAACGTGTAAAAATAGAAAGCAGACCTTCTTATTCTCTCCAAACAACAGAACTGGGTCCAGTAGGTCTGTGGTATTTTTTAACAAACTCCCTAGGTGCTTCTAATGCCCACCAAAGTTTGGGAATCAGGCAGAAGGAATCCCCAACAGAGACATCACATGACTATTTTTACTGTGATGTAATTTACATCCCATAAAATTCTCCCTAAAAGCACATAATAGAGTGGTTTTTAGTATATTCACAGACTTGTGCAAATATTACCAAAACTATCTAATTTTAGAACACTTTCATCATCTCAAAATGAAACCCTATGCCCATCAGGAGTCACTCCCATTCTCCCCCCTCCCGGTTCCTGGAAACCACGAATCTACTTTCCGTGTTTATGGTTTTGGCTATTCTGGGTCTCTCATGTAAATGGAATCATACTGTATATGGTTTTGTGTGTCTGGCTTCTTGCACTTAGCATGATGTTTTCAAAGTTATCCATGTCGTGGCAGGTGTCTACTAGTATTTTGTTCCTGTTTATGCCTGAATAATCTCCCACTGTTGGGATATGGTGTATTTTGTTTATCTATTTATGATGTGATAGACATTTGGGTTGTTTCTGGCCACTGTGAAGAATGCCGCTATGAACACTCATGTATAGATTTTCGTGGGCTCATGTTTTTTCAAATTCTCTTGGGTACGTATCTAGAAGTGGAATTGCTGGGTCATAACCCACACACTCCCTTTTTGTTTCACTTCCCTTTCTGAACAATTTGCTGCTCATCAGCGACCCCACCAACCAGCCAATGGGACGGTTCTTACACTGTTGACCAATAAGCAGCCTTTTCAGAGTAACTCAACTTCCTAGAATACAATAAACAGTAAACAGTTCTCGTCTCACATTTGTTCAATGCAGATGGACAGAAGAAAACAGACAGATGCTTCTGGGTGTAGAAGTTTCTCAGGGCAACCTTTACTGACAGGGAATTATTAGGGCTGTTCTATCCGGGGAACCAGAAAAGTATCCAATTACTTGTAACAAAGAAAAGCTCAAAGAATGCTTTGGAAAGTGTTCTACTAGAAGACTTATCCAGAAACTCACATTAGCTCCTGGTGTAATAAAGTTAAGTGGGAATCTACTCATTTAAAGAAAAATTAAAACAAGAAATCAAGAAAAGCACTGGCTATTTGGCAAATGACTCCAAAAGCTCAAATCCTAGTATATTCCTCCAAGCCTCACTCACAAACATAATAAAACATTTATACATAGGGATGCTTTACCAAAAGAGCTTAAAAAACAACTCCTAGTTCCCCTGGGTCTCAGGTGATGCTCAAAGAAGATACTTGTGTTTCTCTTAAAAATAAATGTCATTTCAGATTTTTTCCCCTGCTAATTCGTGAATTCAGTTATCCTTATTGCACATTAAGTCACCACCCCCTATGCCCATTCTCCTGAATACTGAGGCAATGAAAAAAAAAATAAAGGATGGAAAGATGGGATCCAGGCATAGCCTGGCTTATGAATGGCCAGGTAATCTGGATCAAGTTCCTGTACCACTTGGTGGGGGCGGGGGGAGGTTGGCGCTCCACTTCCTCATGTGTAAAATGGATGGGTTCTATTTATTAAACCAGAGATCATCCAACTTTTTCTTTCAAGGGCCAGACGGTAAATATTTCTGGCTTTGTCACCACACCATGTCTGGTCTCTGCTCTGCCATCAGAGTGTGTGTGAAAGCCGCCTTCGACAACAGGCAAACAAAAGAGCATGGTTGTGTTCAATAAAACTTTATTGACAAAAATAGGCTGCAAGCTGAATTTGGCCCAAGGGCCCTAGTTTGCCGTCACCCAGAAGTCACTTAGTTAGGGTGACTGTGGAGTAAAACTCATTGGCCAGTGAAACTCTGGAAACACTCACATCATCAAAACCTGACACAAGAGTTAGATGTCCACTGCAAACTCAGTGCTTTAGAGTCCATGTACTGGGACACAGACCTTGGGCTCTTTCTAAAGTTTCCATCCATTGCCTCCTTCTATTTTGGTTGATACCTCACCTATGTTCCACTGGCCATCCACCTAGGGCTTGGATGAAGCATCACTCTGTGGGGCTGGAGTCAGGCTTTCTGGGGGCCAGATGATACAACCTAAAAGGGTGGAGGAAAATAGCTCTCTAAGGGGCAGAAGTTTGGCCAATAGGAAATAGGAGATGAGAGGGAGGTGAGCAGATCAGACACCTCTGCTTTCCCACGGACTACTCAAAGGCATGGCTCTTCTCTGTAACCCTTCCAGAGAAGTGAACACACCTGCTGGGTGAGACCTGAACAGACCTGTTGGATCTCTCTGCGGTTGGTTCACTATCAACACTAGCCAGCATCATGTGACATCTTCCCTCTCTCACCCACTCTTCACTGCTCTGGGCTTATACAGCCTAAATGAAGTGTTAATACTTAATCCTTGCCTCAGGCTCTGCTTTCTAGACAAGGAGAGCTAAGACATCCCCCTCAAGTGATCTTCTTCCTTTAGAAATGAAAAACATAAATAAATGAAGCTATTGGATTTACAGTGTACAAAGACTAATACATAGGAGATGAAATATTGACTCATACATTACACAAAACTAATCTTGGCCTTCATTACTGGCTTGAAATACCCCTTCAACGTCCAAACGGTAAAATATATCCTAAACGGTATCTAAAGTCAGCACATCTCCAAAAAGAGGACCTGAACAGCTATGACCATATCACTGCCAAGTGGTTAATAACTGGAAGGCATTTCCGGCCTTCCAGTTACTAAGAGAACTAGACAACACTGAGCTCTCTGTCTCTTGAAATGCAAATACCTGTTGTACAAATAAGAGGTCCCCCTTCACATTAACTTAGGTCCCTGAAAAGGATAGGATATTAGAATAGCTCAATATCTGGAAACTAAACACAACCCCATTTTTGGCAATAGTCAAATTCTGGTGGGAATATAGCACAAGCCTGTCCTGATACCAGAACCCCTAGGGTTCCTGGGGCCCAAGCTCAGGGCCCCTTTGCATAACAACACACCCTGGAGAGATATAACCATGGGGAGATAAGGAAAGCTGGGGACTTCCCAGAGTCTCCTAAAGCATGCTTTGATGGCCTTGCTGAGTTTATACTATTGCATGAACTTACCCACTGAAACTTCCCGTTAGCCATCTGGCCCAACGCTATTTGTTAAATAATCTGTGCTTCCCCCAGTGATTTAAAATATCACCTCTACCATAAGCCTGATCTATATTTCAGTCTGTCTCTGAATGTCCCTTCTTAATCTTTTTTCCTCTGCCTTTCATGATATTGCCTTACTTCTCCCGGATTCTTCTTATATCTGACAATTATTTCAAAGTCTCCTTCGCCCCTCCCTTAAATGTTTTTCTGCAGGGCTCTCTCCTAGATGTTTGCCCTGGGTGATTTCCTGCATTTCACGGCCTTCTTTCTCTGCTGGTTGAACGAAAATTCTGGGCCGCCATGTGTGTTTGTATGGGTTGGCCACTGCACAATGATGCCAGGCCAAGGGGGCAAGTAGGAGTGAAATCCATTCTGCTCTCTATGTGCCAAGCCAAGCACCCACATGGCTCCCCAGATTCTCATCTCTAGCCAAGTGTCCCCTGAGTCATCCAAGGGAGAATCAGAAAGACAGCCCTTGGGCTAAGGAACAAAATCCTTAATATGCTATTCAGGGTCTGCACACGATCCCTCCCAGCACTGACTATGGCTTTGCCTTCAGAAAGGCATTTCCCACCCCCAACCCCTTCCTCAGCCCTCAGCCCTCCTGCATCTTAGCTGCAGGGCGTCTCCTCCTCCAAGAAGCCTCCCCTGATCTCTCTAGGGTCTCTCTGGAACGCACTCTCAAAACACCCTGGACTTCTCCTTCACAGCCCTGCTCATAAGGGTCATCAAGTACATCTTCATTTCAAATCTGCTTCCAATGTTAGGAAGATGAGCTCTTTGAGGGGAGGGATGCTTCTTTTATTATTATTATTATATCCCCAGCATCCAATAGTTGGCCTGGGACTTGGGTGAGGCCCAGTGTCTGTTGAATGAATGAATCAATCAATCCAACAGATAAGGATGAATTAAATAGTGCATAAAAGTAGCATGTATCTAGAACGCAAGACCAGGAAGCCAGGATGACTGTGAACATTTCAGAGAAGGTGGGGAAAGGTAAGGAGGGTCCTATCAGAAATAACAGAGAGCCTAGAGCCGGAGTCATAGCGTGAGGGCCCACCCCCCCCCCTTACCATACAGCCCGTGAACTCCTGAACTAAGATCATCTAAGCGCTTGAAAAAGGGGGTGGGGGGTGCCCTGGTGGCTCAGTCAGTTAAGCATCTGCCTTGGGCTCGGGTCATGGTCCCAGGATCCTGGGATCGAGCCCTGTTGTCAGGCTCCCTGCTCAGCGGGGAGTCTGCTTCTCCCTCTCCCTCTGCCCCTACCCCTCCCGCCTTGTGCTCTCTCTCTCTTTCTCAAATAAATAAAGTCTTTAAAAAAAAGCTGCTCGAAAAAGAATCAAAAGTGTTTCATAACATGCAAAAGTTATTGAAATTCACGTTCCAGTGTCCGTAAATAAAGTTTTATTGGAACACAGCTACACTCGTGGCTTTGCTTTTGCATAAACACAGAGCTGAGGAGTGGTGGCAGAGACCACAGAAACCTCAAGGACAAACCCAACGTAGTACCTGGCTCTCTACAGAACCAAGTTTACCAGCCTTTGACCTAGAACCTCTTGGGATCGCTATATCCCCGGAGCCTGCCCCCAAGCCCGTGCTAAAGTCTGGGCCTCAGAAAAAAAAAAAAAAAGCTGCCACATCCTGTCAGTTACTGTGACATGGGATTCTAATATCCGGTGAATAAAGAGGGGAGAGTTAAATTAACAGTAGCATACCCTTGCAACAGGCTATCCCACGGCAGGTTACAAAGTATGAGCCGGACTAGCATGTACATGTATACAGAGATGGCCACAGTATGCTGTCCGAGCAATTTCTAGAACATGGATCATGTTTCCAATGTATTATAAAGCATAAGCATGCAAATGCTTGGATGGTTAGAGAATATACAAATATCTGGAAGGCTATATGCATGATAAATAGCTTTAGGGAGTGGAACCAGGGATTTTTACTTTTTTTTTTTTTTTGGTACCCATTGAGGTTTTTTTAACCAAGAATATACCACTCTCTAATTAAAAAAAAAAAAATGCAGATTTTTAGAAAGCCTCTTTTACCACTCACCCACCTCCAGCCCCTTTGCAACAGCGTGGCTAATTCCGGATGAGAACGGGCCCAAAGCCTTGCTGATCTCAGGATCATATGGTCCAATTTCTGCATTTCACAGATGGGAGCTGTGCATATATACACTTTCCTCTGAAACTTCAAAGGCCGGGAACAGTGCAAAGCTACTCATGTGTTTGTTTTGAGGAAGCTTAAGATTAGAATGACCAGAAATAGTTCTACTTCCCTTTTCCTAGAAACCACAGTTACCTCTTCAGCTGGAATGCACCCCTCGAGCCTGCAGAAGGCCGGTTGCCCAGGGACGAGATCTGCTTTCTCTGCTACTCCCTCTAAAGAGCAGCTGGTCCTCCAGTTAAAGTCAGGTGGGTGCAGACAAGGGAAGTGAGGGGCGAAGGCCGAGCCAACACGTGGACAGGGATTAGATTTCACATCCTGCCTTGGCACACAGATCTGTGATGCCCCCCACGTCTAACCTTGTGTGTTTCCATCCTCCGGGGAGGCATGAGGTCAAGAGACAGAGCTCTTAGCTACACTGGCCTACCCTGCCCAAGACCACCTTGCTAGAGAACCTGCCGCTCCTCCTTCTATAAACCTTCTCCAGTCTTCTTGCAGCCCACTCGAGAGCCCTCCTGCTGGGGTCCTGGAGTCCCTCTGAAGGCCCAGGAAGCCCACAATCCCTGGGGACAAGGAGGTGTGGTCCTAACTCAACTCAGAAATGCACACGGGACCTGTGTTATCTATTAGAATAAGTAATCCCTAAGTAGCCCCAACATTTCCCAAAGAACATTCCAAGAAATGCCAGCCAGTGAGCTACTACGGGGAAGAGTAAGCAATGTGTGGTGAAGTTAGGGAAATCCCTCGCTTGCAACCCTCTTTTGGGAGTTTCTGTCTCTCATCAGCCCATTCCATGTTCCAAGATAATCACGCAATAGCTAAACCTGGTTAACTTGACTCAAACCAGCTGTTGACCAGAGAAAAACCTTTTGAGATTCGGAAAACAGCCCTAGACCATGAGACTGGGTTCAACAGAGATGCCCAGGGGCGGCTGTGAGTTTCCAGGGAGGACCCCCCTCCCCCGACCCCGAAGGATGGGCTTCCCAATCCAGCGCAGACCCCCGACGCCCAGCACCGTGGGAGGAAAGCGAGAACCCACCGCAGCCTCTGAGGCCGGTTTCCGAGGAAAAAGTCTAACCACTGGGAGAGGCGAGAGGGGGACAGAAACGCGGGGGCCGGTGCAGGATGCTCCCCAGCGCGGGACTCACCATTGGTGGCCGTGTTGACATAGTAACGGCGGCCCTGAGGAGACAGGTAGCTCTGCCAGCCAGGTGGAAGGACAACAGTCTGGCTTTCCTCTCCGAGAGGAGGGGGGACCATTCCAGGCTTCTGCGGAAGAGGAGAGAAAAGGTCACACATGCCGGGCATTTCGGTGACTGGGTTGCAACCAGTTTGGGACCACGCCGTCGGAGGCAGCTGAAGTCACGGTGGAAGAGCCGATGCTAGGGATGGGGTTGGGGGTGTGGGGACGGCAGGTGGCCTGCTGGCATCCCTGGGGGGAGGAGGTCACAGGCCCTACACGTGGGATTTGGGGGCTTGCCCAGGCGTGAGGTGTGAGGAGTGCTTGCTGCTTCAGAGCCACTGCGGAAGGGACAGCTTCCCCCAGAGGAGAGTCAGCAGAGCTGGGCCTTCTCCCCGGCAGCCCCCGTCCTCTGCGCACGCCCACTGTGGAAACGAAAGCCTGGACCCCCAGGACCCCCACGTATAGCAGCAGGCGAGGCCCAGGGCCTGCTGTGCGAACCCACCAGAAGTTAATTAACCTAAGTCTCAGCAGAGCGAGATCTGAAGCCTTCTATAACCACGTCGAGAACGGATGAAGGGCTGTGGCGGGGGCTTTTCTGCTCCAGTGTCCAAATCTCTCTGGGGGATCTGGAGAGAACCAGGACCCACGCCCAAACCTCAGCTCCCTTTCCATCACGTGTACTTTGTGCACTTATGTGTGGTTTAATCTTTTCTTCCTTAAAGATTTTTATTTATTTATTTGAGAGAGAGAGCATGAGAAAAAGAGAGCACAAGCAGGGGGAAGGACAGAGGGAGACGCAGACTTCCAGCTGAGCAAGGAGCCCGACGCGGGACTCGATCCCAGGACCTGAGCCGAAGGCAGACGCTTAACCGACTGAGCCACCCAGGCGTCCTGGTTTAATCTTTTGACCATGAAGAGCAGTCTTCTTCTTAAAAATACAAATGAGAGAAAAAAATATGTATATGTGTGTAAGAGAGAGAAAGCAGGTGAACCCACAGAACCTACAAGAGAGGTGACTTCCGGTGGTGGCATGATGCGCAAATTTTCTCCTCTCCTTTTTACTTATCTCTTGCATCGAAATGTCCCTCAAACAACAAAAATAAGCGGTGAGCTAGAGAACATTTAAAAATAAAGAAAGAGGGTCCAAATTAGCCCACACAATGGCTGTACCTTCTGAAGATAGCTAAGTGGATTCAACCACACAGGGAGAGGGGCCGTGAATTTCTCAGCAAAGCTGGACTCTGTTCAGATGTATTTTTTTTTAAAGATTTTATTTATTTATCCATGAGAGACAGAGAGAGAGAGAGAGAGAGAGAGAGAGAGAGAAGCAGAGGGAGAAGCAGGCTCCCCGCTGAGCAGGGAGCCCGATGCGGGACTCAATCCCAGGACCCTGGGATCATGACCTGAGCCGAAGGCAGACGCTTAACCATCTGAGCCACCCAGGCGCCCTGTTCAGATGTATTAAAAACTACTCCGCTCCTGAATGTCCTAGGCAGCTCTCCGCCATGCCCACCGAGGCAGTTTTGGTCGCTAATGACGGCTACTTAGGAAAAACAGCTAACAGATCCAAAGCAAGCAACAGGGACCCGCGGCTCCCTGCCCGCCCTGCTCCCCTATTGTCTGAAGATTGCAAAACCAGCTAGTTCTGCCTGTGGCACGCCCTCACCAGGGACCAGGTCCATCCTAGACGGTCCTGGGACCCTGAGTAACCACGGCCTCCCCGTGGCCAACATGGTTAAAGGCTGTCAACCTGCAGTGCCTCGGATTCAGTATGGAAGGCGTTGGGTTTTTTGTTGTTGTTTTTTTTTTTTTGGTTTGGTTTTTTAAGATTTTATTTATTTATTTGGCAGAGAGAGAGCAGAAGCAGAGGGAGAAGGAGAAGCACGTTTCCCACTGAGCAGGAACCCCGATGAGGGGCTTGATCCCAGGACCCCGGGATCATGACCTGAGCCGAAGGCAGACACTTAACCCATGAGCCACCCAGGCGCCCCGGGAAGGAGGTTTTTAAACTACCAGGCGCCAAGCACCAGCCAGGAGATCTCACCAACAGAGCACGTCCACTGAGCGTGTTTACCTGGGCCTCCAGACACCTGCTCTGGCCTCTCCCGGATTGCAAGGTGGTCCAAATACACGCACACAGAGTCTCAGGATGAGTAGTGTGCGTGTGCATGCCACGCGCGCGTGTATAAAATATCCCACACAGGAGATGTGCATCTTGGCTGAGTGGGGCTGGGGGTCACACAGGAATAGGGAGGTGAGGAGACTTAACTCTTTAAGAGAGAAATATTCTAGAACCAGAGGGTACGATGCCAGGCTGCTTCTGATAGAGTCTTCGAGTATCCAAGATGGGAAGGCTATGTTCGTGGGAAGGCTATGTTCGTGTTTCTCCCAGCAGCCTGGGAGGGAATGGGAAATTGTTAAAGGGTATTAAGCAAGGACCAGAAACAGACATGGCCAGAAATAGGGTACAGAAGGGAGAGGGACCCAGAAGCACCGTGGAAACAGCCCTCCAGCCTGGGCCTCAATCCTGACTCAGCCCCTGAGCAGCTGCATGATAGGAAAGTGACTCAGCCACTGCATTTATCTACACATCTACACAACAGAGGACGGGAGTTCTGTTGTGGAAGGCACCTAGAAGGGTGCGTGTCACCAGGAACGCTCCATGACGGAGGGGTCCCAGCGGGAGGGTGTGTGTTTAAGCGCCCAGAGAGACCAAGCTTCACACGGCCTCTGCCCCGAGCGGTGAAGTTCAGGTGCCCACACCTCAGCCTGCCCCACCCCGCCTGATAATGTCACCAGGAACAGTCACTTCTCCCCAGCCCTCTGTTTCCAAGACCGCAACTCAGCAGGCAAGCACACACCCGCTGGGGAGGGCATGCGTTCAGAGGTTGACCAGCTGGATCTTCGGAGAAGGATGGGTGGGTGCAAGGAGACCGCTCCCAAGCGGGGCTGGTTGGATGAGTGGAGCAAACTTCCGACCCTCCATGCCCCTTCCTGGCAGACAGCAAACAAGGCCACCTGCCCCGTCTCCAAGGCTGCACGGTGCTTTTTCTCTTGAGAAGGACTCCGGGGGATTTATCCGACTCTGTGGGCTCACAACAAGCTCTGGCTTCCCCTGGAGGACACTGATGACCAAGGAGGCACTATGACCGGCCACCCTGAGGTCTCATGAATCTAGGAAATGCTGGACCCTCTGTGCCCGAACCTATAGAAGGTGCCTGTGGGGGGAAGCACTTCTGCTACTGAGCCAGGAAGGGCCAAGAGGCACTGGAGGAGAAGGGGTGGACAGGAGAACACCAGGGCCAACTCAGCCTACTTCCTAATTTGGCCAGCGCTGCCAAGGCCGTCCCCACATCCCCCTCCAGCATGGCCAGAGCTCCCCGCTCTGCCTGTCACCTGACTGTGCTCTGCCCCCATCGCCCGAATGTGCCTGAAACACATCAGGAGTCAAAAGACGCGGAGACACCTGGGGATGTATCCAAGGGACCTGAAAAGGGCGCTCAAACACTTGTAAAGCCATGTTCACAGGAGCCTTACCCACCATGACAAGGGCAGGCAGGACCCAAGGGGTCCATCAACTGATGAGCAGGTCAACAGAACACGGTGCATCCGAAGAAATACCCAGCCATCAAAAGGAAGGAGGCTCCGCTCCACGCTACCACAGGGATGAGCCTTGAAGTCACGCGTGCGATTCCATTTATACGAAATGCCCAGAAGAGGGAAATCCATAGAAACAGAAAGCAGATGAGTGGGGTCACCGGGGGCTGGGGGAGAGGGGAGGACGGGTACAGGGTTTCCTCTTCGGGGTGATATAAATGTTGCACCATACTACGAATGTATAAATACCACTCGGGATAAATTTTATGTCGGGTGTATTTTACCATTTAAAAACAAATCCTTTTTAAGCTGCGGAGGGGGCAAAAGTTGGACCCCCCACCTGCAGGCTCTCTCTCATTGAAAAGGCCCAAAGCACCCACACTGCCTCATCGCTCATGGTCATGGGTGGGGGGGCAGACCTCCTAGGAGAGCTGCCCCCCAGCCATTAAGACGATGCAGCATGACTTACGACCCAGTAATTACGATCTCTGTCAAACTTATTCGTCTAACTCGTTTCCTTCAAGTTAAACCCTTCCCTTCCCTAGTCCCGTGGCTTCTCCCCTTCCATTTTGGCGGCTCCTTCCCATGGGAAGAGGAACGAGAAGCAGAGGTGACAAGGGCCCAGAGATGGGGGCCCTACCTACAATGAACAAGATCCGAGGGAGTGGGAGGGAGCGGGGAGGGTGAGGGCAGTTTTCTCCAACTCAGAAATTCTTAACCTGATGCATATCATGGCTTTGTGGGAATCCTAAAACGCTGCATCTTCCCCCAGATGGGCCATCCATCACCCTGAGCGCAAGCCTGGATTTCGGCCTCCCTTGGGTCCCCTTGTTCAGTCAACAACCTGCTCAACTGTTTACAGAGACTCATCCTCTGAGAATCTGAAGATAACTATGGATCTCCTGCCCTCCAAAATGGAGTCATTTGTGCATGTACACCCTCACCCTATTTCCTACAGAGTATCAGGAGGCTTCTAGACGACTCAGAGCCCTAATCTAGCCGGTAATCAGGAAACATACGTGCTCAGATCCCATTTGCATCCATCGATAATGACTTTTGTCATGCACCAAATGTTGAGAGTGCTCCAAGGACGGGGCCAGATGCTTTACACACTTATCTCTAGCTTTGACAATTTAAACCTGACATGTTCCCATTATAAATTTATAAATGAATCTGAGACTCAGAGAATGTAATAACTCGTCCAATGCTGCACAGCTAAACAAACGATTAGCCCAAACTTTGAAATACTACCTTGTCCTGGAGACTTCTGTCCAGTTACCTACATCCAGGCTACCCTCCCTGTCCATCTCTCCCCAGCTGGCCAGGGGAGGCTCTACGTCTTCACCTAGACCACCTGATACCCCAGTTCCCACCAAGGAGGGTGACAACTCAGGCCTGCTTCTCCTGCCTGTCTCACAGTCTCCAAATGAGCATATGCCTTCCCGGGAGATGAGCAGAAATACCACCACCCACACCCCAGCAGTCACGT